GACAATTTGCATGCATAACTGTGGCCTATTATTAACAGAGATGTCAGAAAGGATGTAGCCACAATCTTCGAGAAACTTAATCAATATAATTTGTGTCACAGTATTATATACCAGAAAATCAAAGTTCAAGCAAATATATAACAGTATTTTTATTAGGTGCTGCCCACCTCACTTTGTTGACTGTTTGATCCCACACCAAATTCTTCGCTAGAGGCTGAGGTTGAACAAATCACTGAAGATGCATGTGAAGAGCCGCCTTGTGAACAAAACTGCCCTGTGAAAGTTAAATCCGTGGCACTTGGATTCAAGGAACCATGTAAACTGGGGATAGAATGATTCTGAATAGTGTTGTTGTCCAGTTCATTCAATTCAAAACCCCATAGTGCTGCAAAATCTTTAGCAGATGGGCATCCCATGTAGCTACTGACAGCCCGTTTCCGATGTTGGGAAGAGAGACCATGCAGGCTGCGGTCACAGCTACGACACAGAAACATCTGATGATCCAAACACCGCACACAAGATGGGCGATATCTGCAGGCATCACATAGAAGAGTTCGCAGATGTCTGTTGGAAAGTGCATTTGCTGAATGAACCTTTGCATCACATGAGAGGCAAAGATGTGCTGCATCGGCCTTGCAGTATACAACTGGCCTAAAAGCCGTGCAGAACTCACATATTTTCTCCATTTCATTCTTTTCCAGTAGCTATGAACCTCAAAATACCATCACTCTTCATATGCTAAACATTCAAACTTGACCTGGAAGTTATAATGGTCACCCCATGAGTCCGACTCCGATTAAACTCCTTACCCGTTTTACAAGAGAATCACACTATAGGAAACAACATAAGCATACACACACAGACAGATTAGAACACTTGCGGGGGAAATCCTGTTTTTTGTCAAATACACCGTACTGTAAATAATTATCAAATTCTTGCAACAAGGCAAAAAGATCCAAACCTTAACAAATTAGAGCAATCAAGGAAAAAAGAAAAGGAGATTCAAGTGTCACAACGAGAAGATTGTAACAAATTTTGGAAACAGACGCCGCCTCCTTCTTCACAAGCAACTTCCGGCCATCAAATAAAGAAACTAAACAGATATAGAACCACTGCAACTGATATGTACAATTTGCATAAGTTAAAACACACCACAAGAAATGAAAATTACTATTGCTATATATGGGTATACAATTACCAGAATCCAAGAATTAAGAGGCTCAAACCAGTCACAATTCACAGAGCTTTTGCTGATTTTCCAAATTCTTCTTAGAACAAACAGCATTTCGTCGAACAATTCACGCTCATCATGCAAGAAAGCATAATTCACAGAGCTTTAGCGGTTTTCGAGCTGCTTTTAATTAACCAAATCACGTATTCTTCTAAGAACAAACAGCATCTCATCCACCAATTCACGCTCACAACTCAAGAACTCCAAAAACCATTTAAATCGAAAACGATCTCAACCAGAAAACATTGACTCAACCCCAAATCTCAGTTCTTCACAGTAATTCACAGCGAGCTAAAGATGAATGGATGTTCACTGTGTATGGTGACAAAAGACGGAATACATACAAACACAAAGAAGAGAAAAAAGAAGAAAGAAGAAGAAACGTACCTGTGTTTGTTTCTCTAGAAAATGAAGAGGTAAAGGCCAAGAGCAACCGAAGAATCAGAAAATGGTCAGTTTTGAGAGAAGAGTACTGGGAGCTTCTCTTTTTCTCTTTTATCTTTCAGCTCTCTCTCTCTCTCTCGCTGTTTCGGTGTCTTTTACCTTTTCGTGCTGACGTGAGCAGCCGGAGCGTAAACTTTTTTCAGACGTGGACGTGAACACGTGGTCGGTGTGGGACCCGCGTACGTTATCCATGTCCATGCGGAGGCTATGGGAAGCTGTGGAGGTTTCAGTTCTCCTTTCATGTGAGGATCCAAAAGCTTACCTCCTTCGGCCAAAGAGTGGTTGCCACGTGGCGTGAAGATTGACTGCTGTCAAGTTCTGACGGCGTGAGGAACCGGCCGGAGAAGAAGTACATGTCACGAGTCGCTCGAGTCTTCGTACTGTAAAAGTGCTTTTTTTTGACTTCTGAAAAAAACTTTTGTCATTCTACTAATTATTATTATTATCATTATATACATAAAAAGTTGACATGTTAATATATTGTTATAAAAAATTTTGAAAATAAGAAATGTTTTTTGTCCAAGAAAAAAGCTTTCCTTAAATTTATATTATTTGATCCTTATTTTATTATTTTACTAGTTTTAAAAATTCATAAAACTATATATAACTTATCCATATTACACTTTTAAGCTTCACCTGCATATTATATAATAATTTTTTAATACAATATCACGTGATAATTAAACAACTGATTTATCGTCTGATAATAAATTAGATTTAATTAAAATAATTTTTTCTTTCTCTTTTTCTTTTACACGGATTATTTTTTTTCTTAACAAAATAGCAAATGAAAAATTATTTCAATGTATGATATAAGATTTGACGCTATAAATAGATAATTAAAATACGAAAACTAAATTGACCAAAAATTAAGATAGAAATCAATTTGGTAAAAAAATTAAAATAGAAATCAATTTGAATAAAAATCATTATTTTTGCCATTATATAAGTATTGTATACAATATTATATTAATGTTCTGTAATATATAATTTAAATATTATATATTACTAAAAAATATTGAAGAAGTTAATTAAACGAGTTGGTCTCATTATACATTTCAGAACGAATAATCAAATTGAATATTGTACAATATTTAATTAAAAACTAAATTAAACTTAGTAACCAGACTAACTAAATCGGTCTACCTAAATCTATCTAGTTTAATATGTTAAATCAACCTGTTTCTGTACTTGGACATTCTAATGAAAGGGTCGCTTTCTCTTGCTTCCCCCCACACAAGCAGACAAAAAATATTTGAGTAACAACGTAAATTTTATGGCAACTTGACGTAAAAATAAGTTACGGTAATCCATCAAATGTTAACTTTTTTTTTTTGAAAAGTAATGAATAATTTTTAGTACTTGTATATATAAACTAATAGTAACGACAAAGTTATATCTACCAACGCCTGCACCAAATCATCATTAATTATTATACTGACTGGTAAAAATAGTCTCCCAATTATTGAATTCATGCATCTCGTTCTTCTGACCTTTGGGGAGTTTGCTAGATCTTGCAAAATCTAGTATGACATATCATATATGTAAATAAATGTTGTGCACCGACAAAAAAAAAAGTGTCAATAATATATTATTTAAAGTGGGTTTTTTTTTTAAAAAATAAATAAATAAATACTAATTCCAAACACCTTTTCAATTTGCTAAATTGTTCTTGAACAATTTTTCAGTTTATCAAATTTTACTTTTCGGAGTACTGATAATAATAATGTTTGATTTTAAGACATCATGGTAATAAAAGAGATCTTACTCTATTTTTTTTTTTTTTTACTATAATTTTCATAGATAAATTAGGAATATAAAATCATTTATGATAATAATTTGTACTTTTAATTATTCAAAAGAGTTTTTACTTTGTGTTACTACAATGATAATTTACTTTCAATATGTTAACTGTAAATCTATCGGCCAAATGGAACATCCTAGAAAGTACTACTTATCAATCTTATAACTCAAATTAAACCTTTTAAAATAAGAATTACTTTTTCTTGTTTCAGTAGCAACTTGGTGCTAAAATACTAAATTCTTTCCCAAATATAGAAAAACATATTTAGTTTAGATTGAGTTTTGGACCCGAATCTACCTCATTGTTTCATTGTATATTAAGTGGATTTCAAAACAGATAAAAATAAAGCTATACTCAAGTTTGAAATTTCAAATATTTGACTCGAATATATAAAAATAACTACAAACATTATTAGATGAAAGTAAATAGTTGAATATGTATTCTATCATCTTATTTACTGTTTTTAATATGTATATACATACATTAACTCTAGATATTCAACTACCAAAGTTAACTAAACTTACACTTACACTTACACTTACACCTACACCATCCGTAAATATGATCTACTTCACTAGAACCCAACTTCTAAGTAGTTCATCTTTAAACCACTCAAACGTGTTAGTATAATTTGGGGTTGCGAATTGGATTCCAATTCACACCTACAAGAGTTTCAGGCACATTCCTATGTCTTAATCTATTGCAGTTGAAGTTTTATTTCCAAAATACTATTAATAAACACAACTTAAACTTGTGGATAGATAAACTATCATATGATTACAATTGAAAAACAAATCGACTATGTTAGCCGCTCGCACCCAAAGCTATTCATCTTACTTACATTGGCTTTGGTCAAACTAGGGTCAAGAATCAAGACTTCTCAAGATTCATGCTTTGAAGTCTTTTAGCACCGACTTCATCTAAACATTTATTAGATTCTTTAACAGAGAGGCAACTAGAAATTTTGTTAGGTCGAGAATTTTCTTGAAGCCATCAAGGCTGGCCATGGAGTCATCGACCCATCAAAATCATCATTTCTTCTCTCTCAAAATGGGTATTCAAAACAGGGCACATATTCCACTTTGAGCAATAAATGATTTTAGGCATGTTGGAGTTTGACGGCAACCTACAAGTTCTGTGTTTGGATTTCTAGGTGATCTTACTCACACAATGAGACATGGTCTTCTGTTTCTTCTCATAAATCTTGATTTTCATATTCTACACTAGTGGCTCGTGTAACTTCAAATTGTTTGGTCTGTTACGTAATATATCAGGGTTTTAGAATTAAAAAAAAGAACAAACAAAAAACAAAGGCAAATGTGCAATATTTGCTACAAAATTTGTACTTACCTTGCAGTAAAATTGTTGGTTTGTTATTCGGGTTATAAAAAGAAAGAGTAATTCAGTTCAGTATCTACAGGTGATTCTTATTGCAATTTAATCTTAGTGATTATCGTAACAATTCAATCCATGTAATTTGTTTTGCTTTGTAATTTTATATATAAAACTATTAAGTTTCGAATACTTAATTGAATATATCTAGGCTTCTAAATATGAATACATAAAAATTTGATGTTAAAAAAAATAAAGTTACAAAAAAATTACAAGATAATATTTTAAAAACTACTAAGTTTTATGTAAGACGATTAAAAAAAACTAAATGAACTAAATTGTTAAAAAGAAAAGATTTATAGAATTTGAATTGAAAGTAATTCATAGATCCCGAATGCATAAAAGTCTGCCCCTAGAATCTTCTAACGCTAAACACGAATGCTCGGTCAATAAACAAACAAAAAAGGTGAATTAATCACGATTTACATAAACTGAACCAAACACAACTATTTGCATATAAAGAAAAATGTCACAAGCCATATTTGACTGTAAATTCTTGCATATACTACAAAATCAGAGAAAGCATGCATGATATGGAAGCATAAGAAAAATATCAGTTGCTTATTGAGACATAGATGGCATGAAAACCTCTAGTAAATATGACAATTTCAATACCAAAATTCAGTGTGAAATTTTCCTCCCCACAGAATAAAAGTGAAGCTGTATCCAAGGAGGAAAATGATGCAACCATGCCCTAGCATATGCACTTATGGATCATTACGCAATCCACCAACAATTTTGTCGAAACTTCTTCACCATGTAATAAGAAACATTAATAGAAATTCTCCACCTATCCTTAATGTTAAGAGTGTTTGCTGCATACCTGCAACCAAATTTAGGCTGTAGGCATATCCTCTATACATGAATCCATTCTTCGATTTGCTGCCTTCTTTTTTTGTCCTCTGGGTATGCTCTAAGATGTATACAATAAGGTAAAATACTTTGGTACAACTTTGATCAAAAGAAGGCTAGAGCAACTTCTCAATTGGATAACAAGGGTTTACCCAAAAAAATGTCAGTAGAATTGAAATTCAACAATCTATCAACAGTTTTTCAAAATATTGCTTAACCACCACAGACTGGTATTTCTCATGGTAGTTGATAAACATTCTAGTTGAAGCATTACCAATTATATAACCAGCCATACTGCAAAGAAGAGAAAAGTTGCTGCCCAAAGATACACAAAAACAAGAAGCAAGAAGCTCAATGCAATCTCATGGATTTTATGTTTTACTATCCATTTGCAGCCCTGGTACATTCTTCGCTCACTAGATACAAGGCACAAACAGAAAGCAAATCCAGTTTGGCAAGGTCCAGCAAACAGAATATATGCCCAACTCATGGCCACGTCTAAGTGGAACTTCATTGAAATGCAACAATCTTGATTGTGGCTTCCCAAGTATATGGACAGACGGTACTTAATTATGTGTGTATAGAATCCATAATGCCACCAGAGAAGAATGCAAAGCAAAATGACTGTTTCATCGAAGAATCATTAGCTAGTGTACAATTAAATAATGTTTGAATAAGTCTCCTATCACAGGAGATCCTTCAATCATTAAGCTATTAGAATATTTTGAGAGATTCTTTGTTAATAAACAGTTTCAAAACATGCTTGATAGACTGTACAATTGCAGCAATAGCATAAAAGCAAAAACTTCTACGAAACTAAGGATTTGAGGAACTATGATCAACAACAGGATTTCCAGAGACTCCAAGACTGAAAACAAATAAGCACTTAAGCTGAAGTGAAAACCTGAATCACAGCAGAAGAAGTATGAAAAAAATAAGAGGAAAACTTGAGCCCCTAATTGAAGTAATTGATGCATTATTCTTAAAAAATAATATTGAATTATTAAGGTAGAACAGTATTATTGAGTTGTGAGGTAAAATCATTCACAAATTACTATATGTAGAAAGCTCAAAGTTCATCCAGAAATAGAGACATACTTCCACAACATATATCACAGGCGAATTTGACTTTGACTAAAGTTATACCCTACCTCGATCAACTCTTCTTCACGTGCACTTCAATAATGTCATCATCCTCCATTCCAAGGCTATCAGGGGTTGCATGTGCACTAATTTTGCTACCATCAAAACAGAATACTAAGCTTTCTGGGTCAAGCTTAACTCTATCAGCATACAACTTAAAGAGCCGCTCAAACTTGTCATCCTACAAAATGTATCAAACCTCGCTTATTCATCTATAAAGAGGACATATATGCTATAAGTATCATTAATCGTAGATATTAAGAAAAATATACAAAGCTGCAGAAAAGAGGAAAAAGAAAAAGGTGCAATTATTTGAACATCAGAATGAAACAAAAGATGATTTATGGGAAGGCTGATGTTATAAATATTACTCAAACCATCTTATTACGAAGAAGAAGCCATTGGTTTAGAGAGGAAAATCACAACAGCTGTCACATCCTTAATATCAAGCAACTAGCTTTTGAAAACACTGTTGCTCCCCTCAATAATTAGCATATGACTTCCTTATTTGCAGTTTGCATACAATAAAATTCATTGCAAGCAACCAGATTCAGGCAGGCCATACTGAATAAAACGAAATCCTAAGGCTGGCACCAAAATATACCATGTACACACGAAATTGCTTTTGTCCATCCTTGCCCTGGACTGAAATTACAACTTTAGCCCTTTCATGGGAATATTTTGGTGGTTCCACGGCAACAGCATCTAAAGAAGGCTGCAATGATCTGTCCAGTTCTCCTGTAACAGATGACTCAACCTCTTCTAAAGCATGCTCCGCTGATTTTGCATATGACAAAAGCTCCTGCTTTCTTAATCTGAATGCATGGCTCAAACTAGATTAGGACAAAGCCAATAAAGACAGCAAAAGTAAATATAGCTATATCAATAGTAAAGCTCCATTTTCTCCCATTAAGAAAAACCACAATTAGCACAAGCAAACAATAAAAAAAACAGTTCCAAACTTTCCCATTTAAGATCATTATCTTACTCACAGCACAAACAGAAATCCATTTCAAACAAACCTTGCAGCACTTGGGGCAACCTAGTATTCTATGTAATTCAGCAGGCACTATTCAACCAGCTAAAATATTTTTCTTTCACAATACATCATCTTGAGAATACTAAAAGCTTGTTATAACAACTTAACAGCTAGTTTAAAAACTCAAGACTATATACATGCTCAATCCAGTTGTAAAAATACATAAGATTACATCTTAACCCCTGATATATAAGATAAAACACAATAGACCAAATGAATAAATTGTGTAAAATGAACTAAGATCCAATAATTCAACCATACCTTCACTTTCTATTCATTCAAGCATACCTTAACTCCTTAATAGTTGAATTCTCACCAAGCTCATTATGAGCATCAACGGAAACCTTCGGCGGAGGAAGTAGCCAATCCTCCTCGGCCTCCTTAGAATTCACTATTTCAATCACTTTCACGGTCTCATCTCCTTTTTCAACCTAACCGCACAGTTATTGATCAAAGAAGGCCATCACGACTAGTTTCGAACAAAATCTACAAAGGAACTCTATTACGAAATATTGCATCAATCCAAACAAATTCATTTACAGGAAAGTAAGAAAACGGATGAAATTTCTCACTACAGGTTCAGAAATCTTCTTCCTCTTCGGACACGCAATTGGCGAATCGTCGTCTACCATAAAATAAGGAGATAAAAAATTTAATAAATTAATAAATATTCTGCTTCCGAGTTCCCGCGTTTTCTCGCTAAAGAAACAGAGAAATGAAATTACCGTCGACAAAAACGATATTAACGGGCTGAACGCGACTATAATCGAATAAAGGTTCGAGTTCATCGGACGAATCCGCCTGGAAGGATTACGAACTCAAAAAGAATCAACAAAACATTAAAAAGAAAAAAAACAAAGAGAGAATCCTAGATCCAATACAATAAATCACATATACAGAAGTAATATTATTCAAAGCAACAGCAAACCATAGATTATCTTCCAATGTTTCTTCTCTCGCTCTTCACACGCTCTGTAACTTGCTTTCAGTCTGCGATGGCCCGATGTTCTGCTCAAAGCCGAAAACCTTTTCTGATATTGGAAAACGAATAAATTATTTGAAAACAGTTATGGGCATTGGGTTTTCTCGGGCTTTTATGGCTCCGTGTGGGCTTCCGTTCCGCCATTGGTTTCTTTTGTTTCGGGCGGGTTGAACCCACTGGGCCCTACGATAAAGGCTGCCTAATTTTATAATTAAAAATTGTTTTTATTTATTTAAAAATTTAGCATGAATTTGTTTACATATAATAATATCATTAATTCTTCTAAAAAATTGACATGAGAAATTTATCAAGAAAAAATTAATAAATTAATTTTATTCCCAATAAATTATTCATCTAAAGTATAATTTTAATTATATATATTTTTGTTATTTCGTAGATGTGCACGAGTAACCTATTGTCAAACCAATTAATTCAGCATGAATTATGTATATTTAAGTTGAGTTTGGTTTATATTTTAAATTTGTAGCCTAATACGTACATAAATACAATATAGATACGGAGAAAATAATTTTAAAAATAATATCATAATTTTATATTTAATTTAATTATAATAAATGCAAAAAATGCATAATCTAAAATCATGGAATTTTAACATATAGTTAAAATTAATTTAATAATATACATTATTGAAAAAAATGAAAAGGATAAAATGATTTACCAAGTTAGGATTGCACGGACTTTTTGATAATTATGCAGATTTATATTGTCACAGTAAAATAAGATACATATTGATGACTTTTAATTATAAAATTTAACTGTCACTTACATTATATACTGATATAAACTCTAATATATAAATCATGTTTGAGTTCTCATGTCATTGCATGTGGCATATGTCATTTTTTTAAGTCATAGGTCTTATTTAATTAAAAATAATAATTTGACAACTACTAATCTATAATATATTAATAAACTGACGAGTTGTACTTATCAATAAAGTTTGAACTAGTAAACTTTAAGTAGAGCGTAAATATCTTAATCACAAGATAGAAATAATGGTAATTAGCTATAATATATTTAATAGAAACAAAGATAGAAAAAGTTAGTTACGCATAAATAGTTTTATACTTAAACTACTACTTTAAATAAACTCTTCAAAAGTAGAAAATAAAAAAAAAACAAATACATAATTGAAATTTTGAAAATAGTAATTGACAAATTAAGATTGTAAGGAACTTTTAGTAATTGCAGACTTTTTGTTTGTGAAATCTAACAGTAGTGATGTTATACACTGACATAAACTCCAATTTGTAAATCAATGATTAAATATTTAAAAATGGCGACACTTAAAAAAGACGTAGCACTTCTCTTTTGACTTTTTTACTAAAATTTTCAATGACACCTCTAAGTTCTCATGCCATCATATATGACACGTGTCAAATATTTTAATTCTTTACGGAGTATCAACCGTTGTAGAATTTTTCTTCACCCAACATGTCATAGCTTTATGAGACAAAACTTAACTTGATCATGATGGTCCTATTAACATATTAATTAATTAAGTCATAAGCCTTGTTGAATAAGATATTACGATTTAATTACCACCAGTCTATAATACATTCATAAATTGACGAGTTATATATTATTGTGAGATTTGAACTAGTAAACTCTAAGTAGAGTGTAAAGATCTCAATCACAAGATTACCGTATTTGTGATTCTTAATTATGATGTTTTTAATAAAAACAAAGATAGAAAAAATTAATTAAGCATAAAAGATTTTCTACTTAAACTACTCTTTTAAATGAATTTGTCAAAATTGGAGAACAAAAAAAAAAACAAGTACATAATTGAAAAATTAAAAATGTTATTAAAAAATGTTTAACAAATTAAGATTGCAAGGACATTTTGATAATTGCAAATTTTTTATCTGTAAAATCTAATAATAGTGATTTCGCATGTTGACATAAGTTCTAATGTATAAGCCAATGATTGGATATTTACAAATGGAGCGACGTAAAAAAAAAGACATAGTACTTCTCTTTTGACTTTTTAACTAAAA